GGCTGGGGCCGGGCCGGGCTCGTCGCCCGGTGGGACGGTGCCTGCGGCGATGGGCCATGGTGGGGGTGTACCAGTGTTCCCATCGGCACCCTCCAGCCCCACAGCGGACTCGCTCTCGGGGAATTCAGCAGCACGCAGATGACAGGAGAGTGCGAAAGGTGACCCGCGGGGCGAGGAGGCGGCTCTGCCCCTCTGCTCCGCGCTGGTGAGACCCCCCCGGCAGCGCTGCCTCCAGCGATGGAGCCCTCGGCACAGGAAGGACATGGTCCTCTTGGAGCGGGTCCAGAGGAGGGCCACAGAGATGATCAGAGGGCTGGAACACCTCTCCTGTGAGGAGAGGCTGAGGGAGTTGGGGCTATTCAGCCTGGAGAAGCGAAGGCTCCAGGGAGACCTTCTAGCGGCCTTCCAGTGCCTAAAGGGGCTCTACAGGAAAGATGGGGAGGGACTTTTCTCAAGTGATAGGACAAGGGGGAATGGTTTTAAACTGAAAGAGACTAGATATAAGGTAGAAATTTTTCACACTGGGGGTGGTGAGACACTGGCACAGGTTGCCCAGAGAAGTGGTAGATACCAGATACCCCATCCCTGGGAACATTCAAGGTCAGGGTGGATGGGCCTTTGAAGCAACCTGATCTTGTTGAAAACGTCCCTGTTCATTGCAGGGGGGTTGGAGTAGATGACCTTTAAACGTCCCTTCCAACCCAAACTATTCTATGATTCTACAAAAACACGTTCTCCCCTACACACACAAAAAAATGTAAGGTCCATAAGCTGGAAGAATGAAAAAAACCCAAACCCAGCCCAGACTTCTAAACACTGTCAGCTGGTGCTTAGGACACAGAAGAGGGAAATCCGTATTTGAATCAGGACTGCAAGATAGACTGATGCCTCTCCAGCCTTTCCCATCATTTGTGAGCAGGAGCCTTCTGGGGGAGAGGACGCTGGTCCCAGACTTCTGCTTCCCAAACAAAAGTTTTCACCACCCTCACATTCTCCAAGAATGTGGTGTTTTTGGTTTTTTTTTTTTTTCTTTGGGGGGGGGGGGACGGGGACGGGACACACACGACACAACCAAGAGGTTTTCCTTAACAAGGAGAACATCAGAAATCTCAGTTGCTTTGTAAATGTCACCTGCTTCAGATGCTTTACCAGCATTATGGACAACACTTAGTTGGTACTGTATCTGTCCAACCATAATTTAGGAATACTCTTCAAGCAACTATTTGTTGAACTTCTTGGAGAATATTTTATTTAAAAATGTAAAAAACCAACAAAGCTTCTGTGCAAGTTTGTGAAATGCAACCCTTCTAAAAAGGAAACCTTCCTGCTATTCTACAGGTACAAAACAATAAATTGAGGAAAATTGAGGAAACAAGGAATGAGCAGAAAACCTAAATATATACATATCCTAACTGCAAGGAATCAAAGATATGCTGCTGATTCATGGAGATATGATTAAAAATACTTAGAATGATCACCCTTTAAAGGCAAGTCAGCAAGTCTCCCTGAAGCAGAAAAGCACAGAAAGATTCTGCAGGAAGCAATACTGAGAACAGCTGTGAAATCATGTTTTCTGATCTTCACTGTCAAGTAAGAGACCAGAATACACCAGCTGGCTCGGCAGTGCTAGGGACACACTTCAGTTCTGCTGAAATCTAATTTTCTTAGAATCTGGATCCGAGTAGGAGCCTTGCATTTTCAGTTTTTTGGGTTTCTTTTCCCATTGCCATCCTTTCCCAACACCTCCAGTACTCAAAATCACCATGTACAAAAATACAGTAATGACCTCAGAAGGCCAATGCACCCCAGGTACTGCAAAGGTATTTGAGGGAGATAGAGGAAAAATTAAGAACATCTAGGGAAAGAGGAGAGGCACTGCATTAGAAAGTGGTCACATCCTAAGTGAGCAGTCAAAGAAACATGATACAGGATCAACTGGAGTAACTCGAAAAACCCTTCTGTAAAGCAAAGACCTCAACTGAGATGTAGAAACTGAAACTGAAGTACTAAATTTAACATCTTTACTATAATTCAGTTGTTTATAAAATAAACCCAACAGAACTGTTTTCTTGACAATAAGGAAAATAACTATGCATTGGTTTCACTGGATTTCAGCATAAACCAATTCCATAGGAAGAAAATAAGACATCTCCACACAAAAGAAACAATTTTAAAAAAAGGTGTTCAGTTTTGGTTTGTTTTTTTTTTTTAATAAATGTGCTTTGTTCACAAAAAGTAGTGACATAAAGACAACAGAAATGCAAATACACATTTTTTTTCTTTTTCCTCTCCAGCACCTTAAGAACAAGAGATCTCTTGCACAGTCATAATTTTCAAATATTTCATAACCTAGAAACATTCTCCTTGCACCAAAGCCAAATATCAACAACTCCTGATATCACCACTTTATTGAACTGTTCAGGGAGGTATAAGTATTTATGTAAATCCCACTTTCCTCCTTCACCACAATCTACTGTCCCTTGTTAAAAAAAAAAAAACAAAACAAAACAAAAAAAACCCCAAAACCAACACTTCAGGTATTTAGAATGAGCAGCAAGAAAACCAAGCTGTTATGAATTTCAGGTCCCTAAACCACAAATACAGTGGTGTCACTAACCTGCCAAAAAGGCTTAAATTTTAAATGTTAATATTTTCAACTATTTTGGGGGGTAAATCTTGGTCCGAATTGCTTTTTTGTATGAATCACAAGCCAATTTACATTAACCAATGCCAACACATGTTGGCTAGAATATAACTTTTTTTAAAAGGGGTATCAGTTAAAACAGTAGGTACACTTTGAAGTATGCACAGATTAAATTTCCATAAGCAGCTGAATTTATAGCACCAATATCGTAGCTTTAACATGAGCACTGCTGGAGTCAGTGGTTAACTGGGAAGAAGAAAGGCTTTGACTGACAAACTTTTTAGTGAAAGTGAAGTGAACTTTTTAGTGAAAGTGGTAAAGCATTAGATGCAAATACTGACTTATAACTGATTTTGAAGCCATTGTGTATTTCATTAGAGAAGTATTTTCTGTAAAAAAAAAAAAATAGTCAACCATGATACTTGTATGTCTAAACTTTTTTTTTTCCCCACTCACATCAGAATATAATTGTTTGGTTTGTTATATCATTCAGATTGAATAACAAATTTGAATCAGGTATTATGGGATGCTTAATATTTCAGAAGAGAGACACAAAAAGCCTATGTTAAAGAGTAAAGCATTGCAGTCCAGATCATGTTTAGAGCATAAGCTGGACCAATGCAGGATAACTCTTTGTAGGAAATAGTATAAAAGAAAAACAGGTAGGTCAAACTGTGACAATTTCAGTGCAAAACTTCAATGGAAGGAGTAAGTTTCATTTTTGTAGCAACCACTGTAAAATCCACACTACAACTTCAGTTTATCTGGTTAACTTCTGTATTATAAATACAACACAGTAGGTTAATATGGTGTAAGGTGTATTTCATTACAACCACCTGTGAAACTAGTATTTTCTACCATTTTGCTGAAGTCAGTCTTAAAACTGTGATGTGGCACCTAGTTCAAATCATTTATTATTAGGCACTTACATATAGATTTAACAGCCTAATATTCAAATCCAAAAATTCTGGCCATTATTTTTAAATAGAGGGGAATCTAAGCTAAACTAATACCGAATCCCCTATTTTTACCACTGAACAGAATTGTTTTTTCCTGCAAAAACTCACAAATTTATTAAACAAGTTAAAAACCTAAATAGATGTAAACCACTTCTGTTCCATTTCCTAACAGTGCAGATCAGTTTTCAGACAGCTATGGAGTTTTTATTTAACCAAACAAGATTTTGGGGTCCAAATAAGCAAATAAATAGTGTATGTGAACTTCACTTGTGTGGTCTGAATACACAGCTTTGTGCAAATATGTGTATCCTTGAAAAACTTCTATAATTATGTTCCTTTTTACAAAATCAGTCTGTAGTTAACCTATAACTTGGGAGGTCTACAAATAAGGACAATTAAAGAAAAAGTTGTTTGTTTTTAAAATGCATAAATAATTTACTTTAAAACGTGACAAACCCCACCCTGTCCCCCAAAAAACACAGTTTGAAGAGAATACAGAACACCATCATTGGGGAAATACTGATATACGTTAGTGCTTGTACACTCATAAAATCGCAAAAACATGTTCCAGCTTTGAAGTGAAACATAATTGTCCAGACGTACCATACTCATCTGGGGGGGGTGGGGAATAACCTCTTCAGAAATCTCATGTCTAACTACTATTTATGCAATGAAATCATACCGTATGTATAACTATGGATGAATATATTCCAGTGGTGTGGTGTTAGCTCGATTTGGTGTTATCTCTAGAGGGCTGCAATAAACACAAAATAAAATGTGCAAGCATTACAGTTTTTCCAGCCCAAGTTTAACCAAAGTGAAACAAGTTTTGGAAAAGAGTTTTGTTCCATAATTAAGAAGGGACATGTGTAACCACGTGCCTTAACCTATCTGCACATTTAATTAAAGTGCAAATTATTTCTTCCTACATATACTTCTCAGAAGCCCACCAACTCCAGTGCCTTAAGCTCAACCACATTGAGTTAAAATATTGAAACAACATTTAGCAAATTAAATAGAATTCACACTTCACAGCACTAAAGAAAAGAATGGTACCTTTCTGGGAAAAAATTAGTGATACAAATCTAAAGAAAGTAACAGCAATTTATGCTATGACATGAGTCATTTGCATAAAACTTGTATTTTTTCACTTTCATACAAGAATAAATTTTAAAATTCAAAAGTAGAAAAAAATAGCAAACTCTGTAAACCTTTGCATTTTCTTTATGCAAACCATTTTTGTGTGTTGAGCCCATGTTAGTATAGCAAAATTAGTTAAGCAAGAGGTTTGACTGAAAGGGCATTTCAACAACTACATTAACTTAGGAGCAATATAGGATCTTCTAGCTCATAGAAAGGAATTGAACTAGACTGGCTTTCTCCAGAGTCTGAGTCATAAGGAGCATCAGGTAGCTCCATAAAACCGTAAGCTAGCTGTTCGTCTTCTGTATCTGATCGAACATAGCAGGAAGTGTTGGAATACTCCTCATCTTCTATACTGTTGAAATCCTGTGGGATATACAACATTCCCGGGTAGTTCCTGCTAACTAAGTCACTTGTTGTTTGCAGGGAAGTTTTCCTAAATGCCATCAGGTGCATGTGAGAGAACTTGGAATACTTGAAGCGTTTAAAACCCAAGGACTCTATGGCAATTTTCCAGCTTTTCATCATCATAGCCCGGCGATTCTGATGAGATGAATCCGGAGTTATTACAAGCAATAAGCCATTTAATACGAGAAGTTCGTGTGCCTTCTTGCAGCATATCCATCGTTGATAGGGTGATGGAAAGTAAGAAAGGAGGAGTGAGAAAACGACGACATGGAACAGTTCTCCAGGTAGAGAATCAATGGGATTTTTCAGTTGCTTAAGAAAGGCATCTATAGCATCTTGTGCCAGTTGGAGAGGTTGCTGAATTTGAAGATTTAAGAAGTCACATTTGTATACGCTCTGATGGAATAAGAAAAACAGAAAACCAAACAAACACCAAGGTTAGTTTAAAGAGCAAATACAATCCAAACCCACAGAAAATCAATGATAACTTCTCTATTCTCTCTGAACATTCCTCTTGCTATTAAATCAAACAATCTAAACCAACTAGTTAATGCATATCATTAGCTTTCACAATTGCGAAACAAAATTTTAGATGTGTAGTAATTTACTAGAGATTTGATAGCTGAGGATTGTTAATTAAAATAAAATAGAAATTTACCCAACCAAAGTATCATATCAACTATCTCACAAATGATTGAAGAAGAATACAGATAAGCCTACATTGCTTTTGTTTCTCTGGATGCTGGAAGCCTTTTATAGGTTTTTATAAACCTGAAATCAGTAATTAGAAAATAAATTTGATACCTCAGTATTTCCACTAGTTCTTTGAAAAGAATCCAAGAAACTTAGTAGTTTGGTTACTTGGGAAAAAAGTGTCATTCTTTATTGGTACAGAAACAAAGAAGCTATGACAAAGCCATATACATGGGAAAGATACGTTACACTAACTGCTTTGCAGCAGTGATGCAGGTCTGTGTTTTAACCTTGCTGCAAATACAAAGTGTGGCAGTACACATTACGTTATCAAAGCAAGGTAAGGGCTTTAAATTCATCTCTTGATCATTTGTGCACTCAAACTGTCAAAGATGGGAAATGACACCACAATACAACATAGAGAAGAATAAGTTCTTAACTTCCCTTAATCACAGAGCATTCAAAAAGGCAGTGTCACAGTATACTATTCACTACATTTAAGTTTTGACACTTTATATTAATCAAAATCTGAGACTGACTTCTTTCATAAACAAGGTGTTAAGACACAAGGTTTTGACAGGATAGCAATAAAAATTGTTATTAATGCCTAGAGAATGTGCAGGGAACAACAGACACTCTAAACAGGTAAGTGAACATGAAAGCAGACACAAAACATTCTGTGGAGCGCATCTGAAAGGTGGAGTTAGACCTGTTGCATTTTCATACCGCAAAAATATTTAGTGTGTTTTATAAAACAATATTAAAAAAAAAGATCACTAGAACAGTACTGTAAAGGTATTCATAAAGCAACAGATATGCACAATTGTTTCCAAGTAGAAGAGAGGGTTATTTCTGTTTAAATAAAATCACATTCTCTTTTGAGAGTATGCAGTAAATGGGAAATAGTAATCAATGTTCAAAAAAAATCTGTGATTTATTTTTCCGTGGTTTTAATCTTGGCCTCCAACATGGGAAAAAAAAAAAAAAATCAAGAAAGAGCTTTGCATTATGTGGTTATAATCAAGAAATTTTAATTGCAACCATTATACCTGCAGGACTATATTCTGCTTCCTTGTAATATTTAGAACAGGAAATTAACAGTAGTAATTTCATGATATCCTCTAATAGGTTTTAAAAGAAAGAAGTGCTTTGACAAATAATTGTTCAGAGAACCATGCTAACTTAGAAGCAAGACTTAAAAAGTTAGAGGCTATACATACACAGTTGAAAAAAACTATTTAGACTGCATGTATTTCTCAGTAGTGGAAAAATACTCAGAAAACAGTTACATAGAAATAATGTTACAGACCATTTCAGGACTAAAGTATGTTTTGAGTTGAATCTGAACTCTGCAAGCAGTTTTAGGACAAAAATGCTGCTAAACTGGAGATTGCTACTAAACTAGTTATACAAGTCTTGAACTGATGTTAAAGTCCTTCTAGACACTGAAACAGCAGTTATATTTTAGTGCATCCACTGACATTTAGGAACACAATCCTACTTGTATATTCTAATTTTTCATTCCAGTACCCTTCCAGCCTCTTTATTTTTTGGTCTCAGGCAATATTTACTTCAGTACAACATCTGCTGCATATTCAGCATGTTTCCCAGCATTACGTAATTGTATTTGGATTCCCAAAGTGGAGATTCTCTCTTCACTCCAATTTTGCCATTTTTGTTTTTTTTTTTAATTTTTTTTTGTTATGTAGACAAATGAAACTCCTTTAAGAAAATAACCACGGCTAATTATACTCTGGAATATCTGTGTTATAAGCAGAATGATTTGAAGAAAGGGGCAGCAAAAATACCGGCTCAAAAAGAAACCTGTTCTACTTACCCCAGTCTCAGTTTCCCTCCTCCTAGTTTCACTGAATGATAGTGTAGTTTGGGTTGGAAGGGACCTTTAAAGGTCACCTACTCCAACCCCCTGCAATGAGCAGGGACATCTTCAACTAGATCAGGTTGCTCAGAGCCTCGTCCAACCTGACCTTAAATGTTTCCAGGGATGGGGTATCTACCACCTCTCTGGGCAACCTGTGCCAGTGTCTCACCACCCGCACTGTAATTTTTTTTTTCCTTTTATCTTCCCTCTTTCAGTTTAAAACCATTCCCCCTTGTCCTATCATAACAGGCCTTGCTCAAACGTTTCTCCCCATCTTTCCTGTAGGCCCCCTTTAAGTACAGGAAGGCCACAATAAGGTCTTCCCAGAGCCTTCTCTTCTCCAGGCTGAACAACCCCACCCCTCTCAGCCTGTCCTCACAGGAGAGGTGCTCCAGCCCTCTGATCATTTTTGTG